GGAATGAAGGAGCTTCAATGTGGTCTTCCTCTGTTGTGGGGCAAGTTCTTGGTTTGAATGCAAGTTTCAAAGCTATGGAAAGCTATGTGCACAAGGTATGGCCTCAATCTCCAGAAATCTGTCTATTAAAGGCAGGATTGTTTCTGTTCAAATTCAAAGGGAAAGATGAAATGAATGAGGTTCTTTGTAAGGGACCCTGGTTTTTTGGATCAAGACCAATACTATTAAAACCTTGGTCTATAGATGAAGAAAATAATAAAACTGATGAGTGTGTTTACCCCTTGTGGATTCAACTTCCTGCTTTGAGATTAAATCTGTGGTATTCCAAAGGTATAAGTAAAATTGCCAGCTTAATTGGGAGACATATTGCTACTGACATGTTAACAGCAAATAAACAAAGGCTGTCATATGCTAGAGTCATGGTAGAGATTAAATTGCCATCCCCCCTACCTGACCATGTCACCATATAAGGACCTAATGGTAAATCCTATAATCAGAGAGTGGTTTATGAGTTTAAGCCAAGATGGTGCGATTATTGCAAATTTGTGGGTCATGATACTAGTTTTTGCAATAAGAGAACTAAAATGCAGAAATGGATTCCTAAGAAACAAGTTACTGGAAACAATAGTCAATCTGGTTCCATACTCCATGCAAATAAAGATATAGATGAAGAGGTAAATAAGGGAAAATCTGTAGTACAAGAGCATATGAACACTAGGGATTACCAGTCTCCTGTGCATGTGGTGCATGTTTTAGGGGAATCTTCAAATACAGGAGTTGTGTCTACTCACACTGGAAAACATGAACTGTCTGGTAATATTGGTAAATCTCCACAGTCTGTACATGAATTACAGCATGGGGGGAATCTTGAAGGAATGTCAAATTTGAATGTGAGTACTGGTAAACCTGTTCAAGAGAAGGAAACTGAGCAAAGAGTTGTGCATGTTGTGCACAGCCAACTACCTGTATCTGATGGTTCTTATGCATATAATCCATGGAGACATGTTCAAGGTAATAAATCCAAGTTGTCTGGAAACTCTCTTGGTGTTGTTTCCCAATCTGGAGATAATACTATAAAGTCTGGCGGTAAGAATGCTGGAAATTCTTTCCTATATTTGGAAATTTTGGATTCTGACCCCTCTACAATTGATAGAGGAGGACTGTTCTTTAAATGAACTTATCCTTTTAGAATGTGAGAGGGTTAAATAAACCCTCTAAACAGTTGTTGGTTAAACAACATTTGCATCTCTATCACTTGTCTTTTATCTCTCTTCTGGAAACAAAGATTAAGGAAAATAATATCAAGGTGGTTACAAAAAGAATTGCTAAAGATTGGGAATGGCTTTCAAATGTGAACAATTCTGAGAAGGCAAGGATTCTAATATTATGGGATTCTAAACTTCTAAACATTCAACAGCTGGACCTCTCAAGTCAACAGATAACTTGTAGGGTTACCTCTACTGATGGAAGATTCTCAAGTATCATATCATCTGTGTATGGATACAATAATATGCAAGCTAGAAAGGATCTGTGGTCAGAATTATCCCTTATACATAGATCAATTGGAAGCATGCCTTGGATTATTTTTGGTGATTTTAATGCAGTCTTATGTAATGAAGAGAAACTGGGAGGATCACCAGTAACTGACTCTGACACTTTGGATTTCAGATCTTTCATTGATGATTGTCAACTCTCTCATATGAAAACTTTGGGGTGTTTTTACACATGGAACAATAAACAAGACCCGGATACAAGAGTTTGGGGCCGTTTAGACAGAGCTATTGTAAATGATAACTGGATTCAACAACTAAATTCTAGTCATGTGGAGTTCATGGTTCCCAGGCTATCTGATCATTCTCCTGGCGTAATCTCAGTTTATGAAGACTGCTCTTATGGTAAGAAGCCATTCAGATTTTTTAATATGTGGACGAAGCATGCTGATTTTCTACCCACTGTGTCTGATATTTGGCTTTCTCAAATCAATGGATTCCACATGTATTCTGTCTGCACAAAGCTAAAAAGGTTGAAAGGAGCTCTGAAGTCCTTGAATAGAAGACACTTTTGTAATATAAGTGAGCAAGTCATAAGAGCAAAAATTGGAATGGAGGAAATTCAAAAGAAACTTCAAGATGATCCCCCCAATCATTCACTTATCTGTCAGGAAAGGAATTTTATTGTTATATATAACAAACTCTTGGATCATGAAATTTCTTTCTACCAGCAGAAAGCAAGAACTGCCTGGAGTATTCAAGGTGACAGAAATACTACACTTTTCCATTCTGCTATTAAGGCAAATAGACACAACAATAGAGTCTCAATTCTCTATAACAGCCATGGAGATAGGCTTACTGATGGTGAGAAGATAGTAAATGAGTTTGTCTCTTATTACAAAAGTCTAATGGGGACTGCAATCCATACTGATAAACCTGATAAACATATTATACAAAATGGAGCATGTCTGAATTCTAATCAAGCAAGAGAACTTTCTAAACCAGTCACAAGTGAAGAAATTAGAGCTGCCATCTTCTCAATGCCTGACAATAAGGCCCCAGGGCCCGATGGGTTCAATGCTTATTTTTACAAATCTGCATGGTCAATCATTGGGGAGGATATTACTTTAGCAATTGGGGAATTCTTCAAATCTGGAAAGCTATTAGGAGCTTTGAATTCAACCTCGATCACTCTCATTCCAAAGGTACATTGCCCTAAAACCCCAGCTGATTTCAGACCCATATCATGTTGTAACTGCCTCTATAAAATCATTTCAAAAATTTTAGCAACAAGAATACAGGCAGTTATGGGAAGTTTAGTTAACGAAGCTCAAAGTGCCTTTGTAAAAGGCAGGCAAATATCAAATAATATCCTTCTTGCACATGAGCTGGTCAAAAACTATGGAAGGAAACATCTGTCACCAAGAGTTATGATCAATATAGACATCAGGAAGGCATTTGATTCTATAAGTTGGAACTTCATTCAAGACATTCTGACATATATGGGTTTTCCACTGGGTTTTATTAAATGGATTATATGATGTATTTCCACACTAAATTATTCTATCTCTCTGAATGGTAGCTTACATGGATTTTTCAAGGGTGAAAGAGGTCTAAGGCAAGGGGATCCTCTTTCCCCCTACCTGTTCATTCTAGGCATGGAATACCTGACTAGAATGTTGAACCAGCTGAAAGATGATAAAAATTTCAAATTTCACCCCAAGTGCAAAAATCTAAATATAACACATTTAGTGTTCGCTGATGATCTCCTTCTTTTCTGCAAAGGGGATCCTTATTCAGTGAATAGAATTTATCAATGTGTTGAATATTTTGGAGCATGCTCTGGTTTAGAAGCAAACCCTGCAAAATGCTCTATCTATTATGGTGGAGTTTCTGATGAAACTAAGCATGATATTAGTAATTCACTGGGGTTCCCTGAAGGTTCTCTTCCAATCAGATACTTAGGCCTTCCTCTCATAAGTAAGAGGATGTCTTACATTGATTGCAACCCTCTACTCCTGAGGATATCAAACTAGTTCCAGAGTTGTATGAAGAACAAATCACTGTCTTATGCTGGAAGATTACAGATTATTAAGAGTATTATTTTGGGTATTCAAATTTTCTGGACATCTAGCTACATCCTTCCAGTAAAAGTGCTACAAAAAATTGATGAGCTATGTAGGTGTTTTCTATGGGGCAAATCAGAACATACTTCTAAACCTTCTCTGGTATCATGGGGTAATGTCTGTGTTCAAAAGAAAAATGGAGGGTTGGGAATCTTCTCGGCAAGACTTTGGAACACTGCTACTGCCCTCAAAATCATGTGGAGTATTCACATGAACAAGGAGCTTTTGTGGATTAAATGGTCCCATGAAAATTATCTGAAAAATAGTAGCATTTGGATGGTAAAAACTAGAAAGGGAGACTCTTGGATGTGGAAACAATTATTGAGCATCAGAGATAAATGTATTTATTTGTGCGGAGGGATTGATAACCTCATTCAGCTTCTCAATTCTTGCTGTAGCAAATCAAAAATTCAACTCTCTGACATATATTCCAGGTTGTCACCTATTACATCTCAAGTGGCATGGCATGATACAGTTTGGAAAAAATTAAGCTATCCAAAGCACCAGTTCATACTATGGCTGGCAGTCCAGGATAAGCTTCAAACTCAAGACAGACTCCTCAGACATGGAATTATTCAGACTTCTGTCTGTAAGCTTTGTGACTGTCCTATCTCAGAGAGCAGAAATCACCTTTTTTCGAGTGCACTTTGTCAAATAAGGTTTGGAATAGTTTTATGGAATGGCTCAACTTCAAATGGAGATCTTGTGACTGGCCTACCCTCTTGAACTGGTTCATTTTCAGGTTGAGGGGTAAGGGTATGAAACAAAAGATTAAGAAGATGGCATTTGCTGCAACAGTTTACGCTATATGGAATGAAAGAAACTGCAGAATTTTCAAACTGAAGAGTAAAACTCCTGAAATTCTAATGAAGAATATCAAGTTAGATATCCTCACTGTCATTTTGAATTCTCAGTCATCTGAATGCAGGGAATGGGGGCTCTCTATTTAGAGTACAATTAAGGAGAAGGAGGTGCAAACACAGGAGGTGCACAAGAAATGAATTAATTTGTCATACTTGTGGGGCTGAATTTCCCACCTGAGATTTGTGCTTTTATGTAATATAGTCTCATATCTGATATCTCACTGTTGAGTAGAGATTCTTGATGTACATAATTCCTATTTTTGGAGATGAATAAAATTTTTCATTTACAAAAAAAAACATCGAGTTGTTCTGGGTGGGTGCCACGGCTTGCATGCACCAACGGGCCCGTTGTAATAATACTAAGTTATTGGCTATGTAAATATATGGAATATATATGGAAAAGTAAAGGGACTTTTGTGCATAATTTGTTAGAGGGTTTATTAGTAAAAAAAGAGGGCCTTTATAAATACCCAAAATCCTACTTGTTTTCCGTCATCCACTCTTCTCCCTCCCGTCTCTGTTTAGCCGCACACTAAAAAAAAAAAAAAACCCCTAAGGTCTCGTCTTTCTTTAAGAGAAAATCATCATCTTAAGGGGGAAGGCGACGGGTGTTTGATCATCAAGCAAGGTATATCTTGTTATACTATCTTTAGGAATATGTTTATGCAGAAGTTTGCACATTGATCTAACCATTCAATATATTAATTTAATTGGGTCAAGTGGCTATAGTCTTTGCTGGTAATCTCGATAGTATATCAACAATAATGTCAGGCGGAAGGAGAAAGCATGAGCAATAGTTTTCAGCTTTTGTAGTAGCCTGTGAGCAAAAATAGTTATAATGATTTTAAACCATGATTATGAAAATCAATTTATAAAAAAAAAGGAAAATACCTACAGATTCTTCTTGTTGATCTTCTCAGCCATGAACTACCACGTCTTTTACTGCAACAAAGTTGCAAGATTGTTAGGGTTTAGAATTAGGGTACTTTAATATTTTATATTTTAAGTATAAAATAGATTTTGTGCGCAACTATTTGAGGGGCATATAATGCATCAAAAGCTAAATTTCTTTTTGGTTAGACGTCAACAAGATATGGTCTTTAAAAGAAAAGCTAGTAGAGTTTAGTAAACTACTAATGTACCGAGATTATTATATGGCATAGATTGTTTGAATAGCTTACATGCATTAGTATTTGGTAGGATGTATATATTGATGGTTATTTGTATATATTATATAGGAATCCCAAGTGATTTCGAGGAGGCATCGTGATTGGTAATATGATAGTCTTTTGTATTTGGTAAGTGGTGAATTCATGCATTGTGCACTGTGTATTTTTCATATAAAATTATATAAATTATACGCGAATTTATTTCTGATAGATTATATCCTTTTGTGTGATTTACTCACATGTTAAATGTTGATTTGGAGGTGACACACATGGTTATTTGGTATAAGCTTATGCTTATTTTCTTTGTCAATTGTTATGTCTTTTCATATAGTAGTAGGTTGAGACGCATATGCGGTTGATTGATTTCACTGTTGGTTGGCCTTTGGTATTTTTGTATAACATACTTGGTTATATGAACTTTGTTCATTTGTCTTTTTAAACATATGCATCTCAAGTCAATATACCGATATATGTCGGATATAGGCAAGTTATTAAAACAGGGCTCAACTTGCCTCTATGAAGTTTCTATTTTAGCGCTAAGAGCCCAAGTTTGGGTCACCGTCCCGGAACTATGGGTTTAATAATAGTGGGGTTTACCAAGTCAACCGGAGTATCGAAGTGTTGACCGCATTAAGACGTGACCTGCTTATTTCCATTGCACTTTTACATTTTTAAAATATTGCATTATAAACTTTTACTATTTTAGTATTTTGCATATAAAGTCAATTTGTTTTTTTACAAAACCAGTGTTTAATGTATGAATTTATCCACTTATTGAGCTGTGAACTCATTGTGTTATTTCTATTCTTTTCAGAGACTCGGGATTAGGTGGAGTAGAAGATTTATTTGTCAAATTCTTAGAACGGGGCAAGGAATAAAATTCAGGATTGTTATTATGTTCTAGGTTAAGGTTGATAAAGTCTTTGATGTTTAGTTGATATTGGAAGCTTTGTAATAATAAAATATTTCCCTTAGGTTGAGTTCTATATTAAGTTGAGGAATTTTTGTTATTATCAAGTTAATTGGATTAATATTGACTTTTGAGATTATAAAGAATATTTATTGTTGGTTTTAGTTCAATGAAGAGATTATTGTTATGATATTTTAATGAGTATGTATTTTTGGAGGATTTTTCATAGATTTAGTACGACTCCAATATTCCTTTTAGGTCCGAAAATTGGGGTCGTGACACCCGTGGGCCCAGGGCGTGACAAAAATTATCAGAACCGTTGCCAGTCGGAAGTGTGGAGCTAAGTACTATACGGGGCTAAGTACTACACCACGTGGATGCAGTGAGAGTCATCTCTAGAGCCCGTAGGAGTCACCTCTAGAGTCTACATCGCTTGGCAAATGATACTGGGATGTGCCAATTGTCATATCGTGACGACAAGAACGTCGTCTTTGTAAGGTGGGGGTGATTGTGACACCCTCACTTTAGTCCCACATAGACTAGTGTTAAGAAATATTAGTGGCTTAAATAGAAAAAAGCCTAAGGCTCAAGAACAACTAGTACTAGCATTTTGGCAAAGTGGTTAGCCAACATCGAGTTGCTCTCGGTGGGTCCTACGGATTACACGCGCCAACAGACCCATGGGCCCGGTGAGTGACATCATGACTTTATGAACTATAATTATTAAATTTTTACCATTTTTAGTTATTTTGACCCATAGATAGATAATTTTTTGATGGCCAAAATTCATTATTTCATAAGCTATTACCCACGATTTTAGGCCAGTTTTCGTTGTTGAGACGCGTTGTGAAATAATTTTGCTTCTGTGAATTTTCACGATTTCTTGGACTATAACGCATGATATTTGGCTATTTTCAATTATTTTGAATTATTGTCAAATTATATTGCAAAGGTCTAAATTTACAATTTAATGAGGTATAACTCGTGTTTTTTAGCATTTCTGTCATTTCGACCAGTTAGCAAATAATGTCGCAGAGGAAATTCACAATTTCGTGAGTTGTAAAACATAATGTTTAGCCATTTTAAGTCATTTAGACCCATTGTCAAATAATTTCTTGGTGGCTAAAATTCACGATTTTGTTAGCTACAACCCATAATTTTTGGTCATTTTAAGTTGTTTCAACCCATTGGCTAAAACATTTGTAGAGGGTAAAATTCACAAGTTTATGACCTATAATCCATAATTATTGGACATTTTTAGTCATTTCAACCCATTAGTAAATAATGTCATGTAGAGTAAAATTCACAAGTTCATTAGCTATAGTCCACAATTTTCAGCTATTATTTTGGTCAGTTGGCAAATAATTTTGTGAAGGCTAAAATTAAAGATTTTATGAGCTATTACCCATGATTTTTGGCTATTATTAGTCATTCTGACCAGTAGTCCAATATATTTATAGTGACTAAAATTCATGATTTCGTAGGCTATAACCCACGATTTTTAGCATTCATAGTCATTTTGACCTATTAGAAAATAATTTCATGGAGGCCAAACTTCACGATTTCTTGAGCTATAACCAACAATTGTAGGATATTTTTAGTCATTTTCGATCATTGGTAAATAATTTTACAAAGCCCAAACTTTTTGATTTAAGGATATATGATTTCTGACCATTTTTATCCATTTCGACCCATTAGCAAATAATTCCACGGAGACTAAACTTTAATATTTTGTAAGCTATAGCCCAAGATTTTTTGTCATGCTTAGTTATTTCAATACATTAGCAAATAATTTTTCAAATGCCAGAATTCACGATTTCATGAGCTATAAGTCATGATTTTTGGCATTTTTAAAGTTATGTCGACTTGTAGATATGTAATTTTGCACAGGCCAAATTCTAATATTTCAGAAGCTATACCCCATGAATTTTAACTATTTTATATCATTGTGACCAACTGGAAAATAATTTCATGAAGTCTAAACTGTCTAATTTCATAAGTTATATACCATGATTTTTGACGTTTCTAGTCATTTTGACCTATAGGCAAATAAATTTGCGGATGCCAAAATTCACAATATCATGACCTGTCACCCATGATTTTTAGACATTTTTAGTTCTTTCGATCTGCTGACAAATAGTTACGCAGATGCCAAAATTCATGATATCATGAGCCATATTCATGATTTTTGGATATTTTTAGTTGTTTCAACCCGTTGTCAAACAATCACATACATCTCCATACACCGGAAGGGAAAAAAAAGGGAAAAGTAAACATGTGAACAAATGTTTGTGTGCATTACCATTTTCTTGAAGGAATTAGCTCCCTTCTCTGGATTCTTCTAATTTCATTGGAAAGAGGAGAATTCATTCATCTAACACTATCCAGATTGTTTTCGAGTTTTAGCCTCTCACTGTCTTGCTCATCATCTCATTCTCGTGTTCCTCTTTCACTCCACAAAAAGATACAGGCCTATTTTAACATTCAGTAAGAGATACTATAAAATGCTATAATAGAAGCTCTAGCACAGCCGAAATCCATTGATAGCAGATAATCTCGTCCATTAGAATCGGGTGCAAAATTACAACATTAACAGTTTGTTTTTCCTGGTAGCTAGTATCCTTTAGATAGTTTAAATCTTGTACCCATGACCTCTATTTTTGTTTAGATTGCAAAGTTTCTCACAAAGTAAAGACAGCCTTTGCATCCTCTACAAAGGTATGCTTGTTTTATGGACAAGAGGATATTTATTCTGGCCGAGCTTCTTAGAACCAATACGTATGACTACAGGTTCTCCTTTCCTTTATTTCCTTTTCCTCTTATAATCTATGTCCTCTTGATATCACAAATTGTTATTAGGCTCGAGTTTCTTTTCTGATGTGCAATTAATGGAGCATATCCTACCAGAGTTAGGTGTTTTATCCTACAATCATCTGAGAATATAAAACTTCAGCATCAACTATGATATATTTATGATGTAGGCTTTCTTTTTCTTTTTAAAAATTGTTTTGATATAAATCAAAAGCAGAACACTGGAATCAAACTCTTTTACATGGTTATACTAGCAAAGTAGCAATCATAAACTCGGAATTTGTTTGCTTACTTTTATAGCCATATAAATGAAATTCTGATATCTGTTTATTTGTTATTGAAAATGCATGTTATGATGTCCTGCGCAACATAATTGATTTTATTCGGATATTGCTCAACTTTTTTTTGTTAATTGATATAATCATTTAGTTATGGCAGACCCTAAAGAGCATTTTGACAAACAAGCACATAGAAAAGATAGTAATAAGACTGAGTGACTAACGATAGAAATTTTTGTTGTGTATTTAACAAAATAGGAGTATGAAAAGTAGTTTCGAAACTTTATCCAATTATGAGAGCTCTCTATTTCAGAACATTCCAATATTATCATCACCTTGTAAAATGAGGCACTACTTTCATTTGGATTGAGTCCTTCTTGGCTCAAGCTGCGCTTAGTTAATTTCTGATGGATCCTATCATGAATCGTTTGTCCCGATACATTTATATGACAGATAAAATAAAAGATTAAGCAAGGACAAGCTGTTCCATAAATTAAATTAAATGATAAACCACAAAATCATTCCTAAAGAAAATATGTGTACAATTTTTCTTTTTTGTTCTTCACCTTTTTCTTTACCTCTGTTTGATCCTTTCTTTACTGCTGTCACTAAAGCTTTAATGATTTAGTTTACGTTTTATTTTGATATGATAGCAGGTACACACTATATATATGTTTTTTCCTCCCCCTGTTGTAGAGAGAAAAGGAGAGGGGTAGTAGTCACCATAGCATAACTGCGAAGTAAAGTACTGAAATCATACAACGATTCCACCAAAAGACTACCAAGAATCCCTTCAGCTTGATGTGCACAGCTTAACTTATAATTTTTTGTATTTTTCTTATTTCTTATTTCTTTTTATTTTTTATTTTTTCCTTCTGGTTACGGCTTT